GCGGTCGGATAGTTCAGAAGCTTGGCTAATTCAATGTTTGTGAATATATGAAAATCATATGTGTGAACTGCGGTTAAAGAAAGGGATATGAGAACGATCTTCGCAGTAATGAGCACTACTTAAGCAGTAGAGAAAACAAGGGCTGAAAAAAATTCAGGCCTCTACGGGACTGAACCCATGACCTCTGCGATACCGGTGTAGTTGTATATACCCGGTTTCGTCATGATTATATCTTGGTTAAAATTAACTGAAACTGAGAAAGCAATGGTATTTGAACATTAAAACTTAAAAATCTGTCTTATCTTGTTCACGGCTAACATTTTAGCAACATCTTTCCCACAGCGAAGAATTCAAGCTAAGTTAACAGCGCAGAATTCGAAATATGTCACAGTCTTTTCTCAGGAGGTTTAATTTTATCAAGATTCGTTTTGTTTTTCATTATCGTTAAGCGCCTAATGCCGTGCCGAGTGAGATAGTATTCATCATCATGATGGTAAAGTCGACATCATCGCCACATGGAGGAATAATTGCGATTTGTGTCGAAAGTCAGAGAATTTTGATGCAATTTATTTTTAACGTCTCACCGCGAAACCACTCATCGCTTCACTCTGATGATAGGTTTTAATCACGTTAACGAAACGCCGGTAACTGTCGCCGAAAGGTTTCTTTTTTGAGAAATTTGTTTCTCCCCCACCAAAGGCCCTTTGGTGAGGGAGAAGTGATATTGATATTGTTGTCGGACAACAATATCACTCTATTATTATTGCAAACTAATTGAAAACTGGTTGTTAAGGACACGCTTGTTATGGTCATACTTATCCTATGGCATACTTGTCACAACCAGCACCATATCCTTCTAAAAAGAAGTAAATGAAAATATGGTAGATAGATACGGTTGTTTTAGTTTCAATAGGTTGGAGTGTCGGCTATCCGACAGGTGTGTATCGCCCGCTGTTTTCTTAGCTTTACTAGACGTCTTTTCATGAAAATTGCAGAGTTCGAATTCTTATTTCGAGGAAATTCTTCGAAACCATCAATTTCTAGCTTGTCTTTTAATAAAAGATCTACAGATCAAAAGTCAAAGATAAATTTATCGCAAATATTTCAGCCCCACAGTTTAGTCTGCGTGTACCAGTGAGATCACCAAGTGGGCCACTTCTTATGTAGTTGACGTTAGCTTTTAGGAAACCATACGTTCACGGTTTTGACTCGTAAAATGTTTAATACCACGTAAAAACTGTAACAAAACGGTAGCAATACACTAATTGGACACAAATTAATTATAAGAACTGTTCGATAAATACTAGACAAGATGACAATGCAATGAACTCCACGTGGGAACGAATATTAACATGAAACAACACAATTTCAATCGACGATTTACAGTTAAGATTCGTGTTCCATATGACTTAATAAATGGGAAGATCAAACTTAAATCAAATATATTTCATCATACCTCTTTTCCCTCTTAGCGCAAGGATGAGACCTTAAATCGTTTTAATCGAACTCTGAGCCTTGCCCTTGTCGTTATTGCGCATATCTAATTTCTGTCACGCAATGAACGGACCTTACAAACGTCACATGGCTCCCCTAAATTGGCAACAATTTACGAAACGAAACAAACCTAATCAGTCATGTATTGTTCTTTACTTATTATCTTTCTATGCTATGAGAGTTCGGAGAGCATTATTGCCCCCTTTAAAGTTGCGGCTCCTCGGTGGGGATTCCCTGGTCTGCAACTCGATCGCAAGGCAGTAATAGGACTACTTTCTGGACGGGCCTTTCCAGGTAGGCAGTCGGTTTTGTAGGTCTGCCTGAATCGTCTAGGCACTCTGTAGCAATCGCCATCTTAACTTTCCTGACCAGACCGTCATCGTTGGGAAAGGTTTCGTGGACACGAGCAAGCTTCCAGCGGTTCCTTGGCAAACTTTCGTCTATCACAATCACGATATCGTTCACTTGTAGGTTTCTTCTGACTGCAATCCATTTTTTCCTTGGCTGCAACGACTGCAAGAATTCCTTCCTCCATCGATTCCAAAATTCGTTGGCCAAGTACTGGACGCGACGCCATCGCTTGCTCAGGTAGAGATCTGCACGTTTGAAATCACCGGGAGG